GCATGCATGGGACCCTTAGGCCACCCCCTGTGGACCCAATCTAAGACCTTGGAAATAGCGGGGTCTGCCATAGACCCAGCGCTGATGTCAGAAGCTGTTAGGGGAAAGTCGAAGTCCTCAATGAGGAGGACTGAAGAGGTGGGAGCTGGATCTGAGGGCACAGGGCACCGGCTCAAAGCATCGGCATGGCCGATGGCCGAGCCAGGCCGGTAGACTAGGTGGTAGGAGTACCCGGCCAAAAACTCTATCCAGTGGGACATGCGGGGTGAGAGCATGACCGGGGTTTGTCGATCACCAGTGAGCAACCCTAGGAGGGGCTTATGGTCAGTGACCAGTGTAAAGGACTGGCCATAAAGATAATAATGGAATTGTTTGACTCCAGTGACTGCCGCCAGAGCCTCCCAATCCAATTGGCTGTAATTCCTTTCTGGTGCGGAAAGGGTACGGGAATAAAAGGCAATCGGTGCCTTGATGCCAGTTGGGAAGACATGACTCAAAATGGTGCCAATGCCATTGCCAATGCCAATGCATCGCAAGTCAAGGACAAGGGCATGCTCTCGTCGTATTGGACGAGAACCGCCTTAGATGTCAGCGCGTCTTTGACACCTTGGAATGATGCAGCAGCGGCGCAACTCCACCCCCAGGAAGACTTAGAGTCCAGGAGATGGTGGAGGGGCTCGGCAAGGGATGCCTTATGAGGCAAAAAAATAAAGTAAAAATTGAGGAGTCCAAGGAATGCCTGCAGCTCCGCCTTGCATGTGGACGTGAGGGTGTTTCTAATGGCCGTGACCTTGGAAGGGGTAGGGTGGATTCCCTGGGCATCGATGAGGAACCCCAGGAACTCCACTTGCGGAACCCCTATAATGCACTTCGATCTCTTGAGGCGGAGTCCGGCACTGCGCAAACGGCCCAATATGGACCATAGCTTAGCTAGGAGGTCAGATTGGTCTCCAGCAGAGACCAAAACATTGTCGAAGTAGGGTACCACCCTGGGAATTCCCTGAAACAATCATTCCATGATGGAATATTCCCGGGGCGACACTCACTCCGAACTGAAGCCGGGTGCATTTAAATGCACCCCGGTGAGTAACAATGGTTTGGGCCATGGCTGTCGGCTCATCAACCGGTAATTGTTGATAAGCCTGGGCCAGGTCCAGCTTGGCAAATACCTTGCCGTGACCCAGGGAGTGCAGCAAGTGCTGCACTACTGGCACCGGGTACGAATTGGCCTGCAGCGCCTTATTAATAGAACATTTATAGTCAGCACAAATTCTGATTGAGCTGTCCTGTTTTAAGGGGATTACAATAGGGGTCTCCCAAGCCGAATGATCCACGGAGACTAACACAAGCTACAAGCTTATCTAGCTCTGCATCTACCCGTGGGCGCAAAGCTAAAGGCACTCTCTGCAGTTTGAGGCAGACTGGCATCACCTGGGGGTCCAAATTGAAGGATATGGGCCTACCCGTATATTTACCCAGCTGGTCCGAGAATACGTCTGCGAATTCTCGGGCCAGGATAGACGGGACATCGGGGCCTACCCTATGCACTCCAGAAATGGACAATTTTAAAGCGGCAAACCAGTCCAGCCCTAAGAGGGTAGGACGGTCGTCCCTTACCACAATTAGTGGCAATTTACCAGAGAACGAACGGAAAGATACCAGGAAAGTGTGGGGATAGCCTTTCCTTGATAGTCCTTTAAGAGGACAGGGCAAGGCTTGAGCCGGCGGTGGGACAACCCCGACAACAACTTAGAGAGGGTTGCCCACAGTATGAGTGACTTGGAGGACCCCATGTCAACCTCCATTTTACAGGCCACTCCTTCCAAACCCACTGTGAGGAATAGCTTGTTGGGAGAAGCTGAAGAAGTGGCGTTGCTCACAGCAATGTCAGGCAGGTCCTCATAGCGGGTGACGGCGAGGCAATCCTCGCGGCGAGTAGCCACTTTCCGTCCATGGCGGCGCTCTGGGAGGGGACCGGAGGGAACGTCAGACATTGGGGTGGGCACTCTGCAGACCCGCGATAAATGGCCCCTCTTGCCGCAGCGGTGGCACACGACGGTCTTGAAACGGCAGTAAATTTCTCTCCAGAACTTTTGCCCTGGCTGCTAGACCTTCATGGGTTGAAAAGCCACTGAAGGGATACTTTTCTGCTGCCTCTATCAATGCCTTCCCCTTTGCATCAGAAAAATTAAAAGCACCCATCAAGTCTCCCTGATCAGATCAATTTTTAATCTTTTGCCAATAAAGTGTGTTCCACCCACATATTTTGGCAAAAAGGGGGGAATTGTAAGAAAGTTAGCACCCACCCATCTCCTAGAAGAATGAAATATTCTAGGAAATATTAAAAAGGCAGAATATTATACCTTCCTGGATGAGAAAAGAAGAAATATGCTCTTGGAAAGCAGCCCCCATCTTTGTTAATAGCCCCAGAAAGACTTGTGCCAACCTATCTACAAGACAAAAGACTGGGCCATCTTAACTAGAAAAGACCTTCAGCTCCAGGGTGATAGGATTAGTCCTCACTCATGATCCAAACTAGGACAAAGTCATTAAGTCATAATAGGAATTGCCCAAAGCCCCTTCGTTACATCACCCAGCAAGATTCAACCAAGCCTGGGACTCAAGAAAGCCTACAAAGTTTCCCCTGCATGGCCCCATGGGAGTCTGACAACCAATCAGGAACAGGAAGATCTAAGGCGGGATTCAAGAGAGGGTATAAATCTCTCTCTCTCTCATCTCAAACCATGTGGTCCTGTCCATCATTAAACCATCTTTCCAAATAGCTTCCATGTTTCCAGTGTCTTTCTCCCCACTTGGAACTGAACCCAGATGGACATTTCTTCCAACAAGATAATGCATTGACACACAGACTTTCTGTAAATGCTGATCCATACAAGCAGTACTAAGTAGCCCCATATGAAGTAACCCACAGAAAAAATTACAAGAGACACTGATGAGATATGTAGTTATTAAAAAAATAGTCCAATTAATGAATTAAAACAATATCTGAGATAACTTTTGTCAGTTCAATGGGCAACAATTTAGGCTGCTAAAACTCGGATATTAATAGGGGGAAGAATCATCCTTCTGACCTTGGGGACAATTAAACTTTAGTGGAGGTATTTTCCCTGTACTGAAAAGCATGTGCACTTTCTAAGATTAATTATTGGCATTATATATTATTATGCTTTCTCAATAGTGCCTGTTGCCATAATACATTGAGCACAATTTTGTGGCTCAATTAGATCCCATAAAGCTCATCCACAGTTAATTAGTAGTGTTGTATAATATTCTGTCACTGCTCTCTAGTAATTATATTCTCTTTGCCCTTTCTTTCACATTGTATTTTTCCCCCTTCAAGTTCTTATAAATAAATGAAAAAATCTGATCCATTAATTGAAGCAATAGGGGTCTGTACATTACTGGCCTCTGATTGGGATCAATTGGCAGGAGTCAATACTAAAGCTCTGCTTTGCCATCTATAAGGCATTTGAAATCAATTTTCCATAGCAATAGCTCCTATGGTGAATAGCTTTGCATACTTATGCTGTGAAAAGAAAAGGAAGCCAGCCCGAACGAGAAAAGATAACTCATGTATTGTGAGGCAAATTCAAGTTAGTTCAGTGAACTGAAGAAAAATCTCTTCATACTTACCTTAACTCACAACAATAAAAATAGTATTTTTTAAAATTTTGCCGGATAAACCTAATTTTATAAGACAATGTCCCGCTGTGGAATTAAATTAAACCACTGACATAATTTGTAAAAATAGTGAAGGAGGATGTGAACATATAAATTAAGAAATTACAACTGGTTGCAATGACATTCAAGGATGGACATTCCATACACATAATATCTCTAGCTTTTATGAACAAAAATATGAGCTGCAAGATTTGTAAACACCACCTGGAAACAAAACAGCTACCACAGAAGAATAAGGAACTACAGTTGCCTGTTCAGATTCAAAGAATCAGGTGCTAACTGGCCGTATTGGGCTCTGATAGTAAATTGGGTTTTCTTTTACTTTACCAGATATTTTCAGCTGACATTTCAAATAAAAATAATTTTTAAAAAAGAGACTCAGTGATTGAGCAAAAAGACAACCGTAGTGTCCTCCTAATAAGAATTATAAGCCACCCGGTTAGGATCAAAAATATTATAAGTCAAAATGCAGTGTTAACAGTTTACTTATTTTAAAAAACACAGAGATCTTGTACTGTTTGACTTATAGATATCAAGCTAGTCCTTTAAGAAGTTCCTTATGTCAGATCCCTAAAAGTGATACTGCCATTCAAGTGGAGGAAAGGGGGACTTGGATTCGATTTACTAGCATGGCCTGTGTCATCAGATATTTTATAACCTATATCCTGGCGCCAAGGAAGCCTGAGATTCCCTTTACCTGCAGGAATTTTTATGATAGCCATGTGGGTTGTCTCACTTTAAAGGGTAGTGGTGGGAATGCATGTTTGTTCGGGTTCTCAAAGGAAATAGTAAAGAACACATCTTCACGCTTGTGTATTGGCTGAAATCTGCATTCTGACTTAAAGGGAGGGGTCTCTACCACTTTAATCCTACTGCTTTGCCTAAGGGTATTCAGATTGTGTTTTAGCTGGATGATTTTCACTTCTGCTTAATAAAAGAATCCTTTTGAACAACTACGTTTCAAGAGTTCGTACTTTCTTAAGTTGGAAGGAGAGGTGATCCTTACAACTTAAGATACAGTTACTATCCCAAGATCACTAAGGTTTGTGAATTTAAGTTTGCATCACCTAGCCCTAGACAATCACATGCTGATCCTAGCCAAAAACACACTATTCTTGTTTTTAAAGTGTGATCATATTATTGTTATCATTACTTGACTAAACAAATGTCTAACTAGAAGTGGGAGGAAGAGAACAGGCTATTTTAATTTGAAAAGTTACAAGCAGGAGCATATCGGCAAGTACACCACATTCACGTTGTCAGAACTGAACCTAGAAAAAAGACTCACCTCTCACATACCATTTCTTTGCAAGTCATACTGCTTATGTCAAAGTTTATTTTGAAAATGAAAATATTGATTTTAATGAAGTATTTATCCTCCTGAGCAGTGGTGGGTTGCTCCTGGTTCTGTCCGGTTCTTGAGAACCAGTAGTAAAAGCGGCAGGAGGTTCTACCCACCCACCTGGACATCATAAGGTATGATTTGTGCAGAAGTGCACGCTAGTGAGCGAAAAAAGCACTCCCATTGCGAACCAGTAGTAAAGGTAAGTAGAACCCACCCCTGCTCCTGAGGCAGCTTTAGTTAATCCACACAGACATATTATTTATATTGTACAGGAATAAACCATTTCTAATGTGGGGTTTCAATTTCTCATTCATCTTCAGAAGCAATCCTATGCATGTAAGTAATTTTCCTTTGGTTCAGCACACAAATAGTGGTATGAATCATATCTTCTACATACAATTTCATTTCTTTTATTATTCAAATCTTGGAACAAATTTCAGTTCATTCTTTACATTCTGGATTTCTGAGAGATTAACTGCTGGGCCTGGTAACTTCTTGGCTCCTGTGAGAGTCTTTTTCTTTTCTTCTTCAGGTGGAGTTGGAAGACTCTATAAAAATAATAAACTTAATTCTTCAATTGATTGTAACAAGGAACCAGGAAATAGAGAAAATTACACAGTTAAAGTTAAAATAAAAGAATATATTTAATAACATACTAGCATAAAGTAAATTTTCCATATTATCAAAATTGGAATTCTCTTCTTTACAGAACAAGTAACAATTTGATATCATCCTGATGATTTGGACTACAATTCTCATAGTTGTTTTCATTGGCCATGTTGCTGATGCTGGTGGGAAGGTGGGGGAGGGGGGCTGACATTCAAAACACCTGTCACATGCCTATTTCTGTTTAGCAGTAACCAGGTAATTTTTGAGAGCTTCAACAAATAATTCATTATAGTATCTGACACTCACACAAGGACTTCAAAGGGGAATAGCAAAGAGGTCAAAGGACAATGCATTCATAATGACATAATCCGTTAAGTGCCATGACTTATGTCCAGCCCAAATACATCAGTGTGGCATTGATGTGATTATGTTGCACATGTCACCATTTTGGCATTACCACAGTTTGCTGTGGGGCTTAAAGTGTTATTGGTTATTTAAAATTTAGGGGTACCCAATTTTGAAAGTGTACACCTAGTAATATGCCATAGCTATACCACTGATGGGTGGAATTCATCTGAATGAGGATTATCCCTCATTTCTACATGACATGATATTATTGACAAGTTCAACTCTTGTTCAAGACTCTTTTCTACAACTGTATATTTAAGAAATAATTTTGGGGAAAAAATCTTTAGCTCTCAGGTAACCCCGCTTCCCATCTGGTATGAACTAAAATTGTCTGCCTTTTTTCAGGATTACATGGGAATCTGAAAAATGTTGAAGATGCTTTAAAAAATCAACTAGTTAAAGATAATGGAGCTGTTAAAACAGCAATGTACTGTTTCAGATTTAAGTAAGTGGAAGCCTGAAGAAAGTCAATCTGTTTTAATGAATAATAGATGAATGTTGTATTATGTGAGGTCTAGGGCACTTCTGAATTATTTTCAAAGTAACTAGCCAATTCTCTTCAACTCCTGAAATAATTTCTCCATGATTCCAATATTTCTCCACCTGGCAAGGTGTTATACCATTTTGATTTTGTATATGTTTCTCAATCCTGAATACATGTTTATCTAACAAATACAAAACATATTTCAGAATTAATCTAGAATTATCATAAATGTATTGCTCAAGTTGCTTCATCACTTATTTGTTTATGGTACACAATATATAGCTTTGCTGTGCATACACATAGACATACACACATAGAGATGAGTGTGCAAGAATATTTCATACGAATCCAATCCATGTGAAAAAAAATGAATAAAGGAACAGGGCCCCTCCCCTTTTCCTATTGATAAAATATGTTGCATGCATTTGTCTTGTCTGATGCATTTAAAACCCTGCAGCTAGCTGTGATTGTGAAAAAGTGGCATTTGGTTCATTTCTCAATGAGGCATCTTCTTCACTTTCGGTGCAATGGCTGGTGCTAAGATGAGGGAGAGGTATTGTACATTGTAACAAGTATGGTTTCATGAAACTATGAGAAACAAAATATATAAAGTAGTTGGAATTGGGAGTAATTTAAAAAAATCCCTAATGCCACTTTACTGAAAAAGAGAAGAGATCAATCCCCTCATGCCATCATTCAAAAGCAAGTGTAAAACTAACAAAATTATTTCATATGACAGCTTTCCTTTGGACTACAGTACTGCGGAAACAATAACAAAGAACTGCAAATGGTCAATAATAAATTCTGGCTGCATTTGAAACTGTATTACAACACAAATACAGTATGTATTTTCTTAAGTTGAAATGACTGAAAACAAAATATGACAAGGATACTATCAAATATTAAAAAGAGATAATGGTGTGAAGTCACAAACCTAAAATTTATACTCGTTTGTTCAGGGAGTCCTTAAAATTGCAAAATACACACTATGTCAGTGCACTCAGTACATAAGGCAGATTGACTAAATGATAGCATATCTTTATTTACAGAGAAAGAAAGACCATTTCCTTATATCTATTTATCCTTTTGCAAATTAACATTGTTTTGCCCACTGGATCAGTGAATAATGAAGGCATGGAAAATTCTTTACTGAAAGCTGATTCCATTTTGCAATAAGAAATAAGAAGTATGTGGGGTTTTGTTATGACTAGAAAGATTTAACTCCAGAAGTTTCATTTAAAATCACAATTTTTTTTTTCAACCACTCATGTGTTGGAAGTCCAAATCCAGAAATATTGGTTCTTCTGCACATCATGATCTGCTGGCCACAGCGGGGTAGTAGGATGTAAATAAACAGTTGAGCATTTACTCACTATATCCCCTCTTTGTTGCATTGCCTGTTCTTTATCTAAGGGGCTCCTAATATGAAGGCACTGTCTTTGCCTTTCACTCATCCTTGCTCACATTAAATTCCCCCTCTCAGGAATGCTGACATGCATCTAAAATTAGAATTTGATTTGACATGTCAAAAGTCAATTATATGTCTCTTGATAGTAAATTAGTTTATTTGACAGTCTCTAACTGAACAGAGTGTATTTTTATCAGAAATATTCATACCTCCTACATTTTCTTGCTTTGTGCCCTTTCACTCAGTTTCCATCTATACCCAAAGATCTACCCCCCAAATTTCAGCCAACTGAAAACTTTGTTGATAATCCAAGAACTTTCATTTATATACTATGTCTTGGGATTTTCACCCTAACCCTAACTCTAAAATGTAGTCCCTTCCCCAATTTTAATTTTAAAACCTCAGTGTAGATCTCCCATGGCTTTGATCTAAATCATCTGTTTTTATTTCTAAATCAGCTATGATAAGGCTGTCCCCTGATACTACTAGACGACATCACTAGGGCTCACTGCCTTAGAAGAGTGAGGAAAATCCTCAGGGATAACTCACACCCTGGTCAGCACTTCTTTATTCTCCTTCCATCGGGAAGAAAATATAGAAGCACAGGCAGCTGCACAAACAGGCTGAACAACAGTTTTTATCCGTGGGCTGTCTGAATGAAAAATAACTACAACATAGTACGATTGACTTGTGGGGCCGATGCAATGTGCAATAAATTCACATGGTGCAATAGGATTGGGTGTTTGTTAGTAGGATTCACTGGGATAGGGATTTTTTTTGTCTTTCACTGTGAGTTGTATTGTGTTGGGGGGCTGCACGAAGGGAGGCTCAGCCAATCTCATAGTACACATGTTGTACTCTGACAATAAAGGTTTGAAAATAGATATATCCAAAGTTCAGTCAGTTTCTCTCTGTGCCTCTCTCTCAAAGACATAAATGTGTGCCCATGCGCGCGCACACACACAGAGAGAAAGAAAAAACTTCTATTTGCAATGCCAAAGCTCTGCAGAATTTGTGGGAGGGATACTTTTTCCATCAGAGGGAATCGTCTCTGTTTACCAGTTTCTGGGTTTAACCCAGCCTCCCTTCCTACCACAAAGGTACATTTGCTGTACTGCCTTGGCATAAATAGCAAGACTTCTTTGTTTTCAGAAAACATGAGGTAAATGACACAATGTGAAATAAAAATGTGCATGGGATACAGGGCATTAGCTAAGAGTCTTTATTTGTCCTTTTGGATAACTCAAAGGAAGAACTGATAGCGTTATGCTGTTCTCAGCATTTCGAGGTCAACAGTGTTTCACTAGATGATCCTTGATTATAGTATTATGAGAAACAAAGGTGTATTAACCATATCTACATCGAAGCACTCTTTGCTAAGCCAGCAATTCTGGTGTAAACTCCCATTTTTCTATACAGCTGGCATCCTGAGAATATATCAGCATAGTGCATAATCTCTGAGTTTTTGAAATATGGGCAGTTGTTGCTGGCTTGTAAAGTAGTCTCCAGATTAGAGGTCCTCCCTGTATAAATTAGGCAAGCATGTTGAGGAAAAAAAACCTGGACTGTGGTTCTGCTTGTAACATCCTGGTCAAAATATACCAAAAATAGCATCCTAACCATTATCAGTAATGGTGCATAAGGCATAGGTATGACTAAGACTACCATGTTTCCCTGAAAATACGACCTATCCCAAAAACAAAACCTAGCCCGATTTTCATGCCTGTGCCTAATATAAACCCTACCCCAAAAATAAGCCCTAGTTAAGCCCCACCCATCATCTGGTTGTACAAGGTGGGGCGAGTCGCAGGCATAAAAATCAAGTGAGGGTGGGCCTGGGGATGGATCTGCCCCACATACCCCACACCTGCTTACTTTAAGACCACTGCAGCCAGGCCTCCCATACCCCAACAACTGTTGTGCCACTGCACAACTTCTGCAGCCACTTACGGCCACTTACAGCCGGACGCCACATGGTGCATCATGCCTGTGCCACTGCTTGCAGCTGAACACCACAAGCCTCGTCATGCCGATGCCGCTGCTCACAGCAGAACACTGCAAGGCTCATCGCGCCAATGCCACTGCTCGCATGTGAAATGGCACAGCCTCCTGCCGCAAATGGTGGCACTAGTACAACAAGCCATGCGGCATCCTGCCATGAGCAGCTGCATCATGATGACGAGCCATGCAGCATCTGGCTGCAAGCGGCTGTGAGCAGCTGCAGAATATATCAGGCAGTGGCGCGACAGGTGTTGGGGCATGGGAGGCGTGGGTGTGGTGGTCCGAGGTAAGTCATCCCCTGAAAATAAGACCTGGTGCTTATTTGGGGGCCAAAAAGAAAATAAAACTGGGTCTTGTTTTCAAGGAAACATGGTAGTAATCTTATCTACTTTTTCTTTATGTGAATGCCTTGATTGACCACTATCAAGATAAGTGGTGAAGGTCCATCTGTTGATGATCACAATATATGGAATTGCAATTTGGAATGTTTTTAAAAATATTTTTATTGAATTATGTTTAAAAAACAATATCAGATAACTACATTAACATAAATCCAAGATGCAGGGGGGGTGAGATATAGAAAATACAAAAAACAAACATCCCACTAAAATAGACAGGCACTATACATTTACAAATTT